CGAGGGGGGCGACTCAGAAGGGAGCAGAAGGGGCGAGGGAAAGGAAAGGGGAGAAAGACAGGCGAGGGAGAAAGGACGGGAGAGGGAGCTTAAAGAGAACAGGGCGACGGTAAGGGGAAGCGGAGGAGACGAAAAGGAAACGTGGGCAAGAGAGAAGAGCTGAGAGAAATGAGGAGATGGGAGTGGTACGGAAGGGGGCGAAAAGGAGGCGGAGGAATTGAAGGAATAAGAGGAGGAAATTGGGAGGGGCAGATGAGGGCTTACAGTGGGAGGGAGGAGTGGATTTCAGGAAGCTTTGGGAGTGAGAGGAGGAGGCTGAGCGAGAAAGGAAACTCGGAACTGGGTTCGCTAGATATTTTTTTATTATTATCGTTATTATTACCAAAATCAGTCCTATATTAAGGTTCCATTTATCATTAATAATTATCAACATTATTATCATTATCATTATGATTAGTAATAGTAGTCGTATTAGCAGTACTAGTACCATTACTGTCCTTGTAATAGTAAAGAGGTTTATTGGTATTATTGATACTATCATTACTGTTATTATTATTATCATTATTATTGTTATTAACATTATTATTATTGTTATTGTTATTAACATTATCATCATTATCATTGTCATTACTTTCATAATTATCATCAAGATTATTATTGCTGTTCTTGTTGTTGTTGTTATTACTATCACTATTGTTATTATTATTATCATTATTATTATTATTATTATTATTATTATTATTATTATTATTATTATTATTATTATTATTATTATTATTATCACTATTATTATTATTATTATTATTATTATCATTATTATTATTATTATTATCATTATTATTATTATTATTAATATTATTATTATTATTATTATTATTATTATTATTATTATTATTATTATTATTATCAATATGATTAGTACTACTTATTATTATTATTATTATTACCAACATTATTTTTATTATCATTACTATTATTATTATTGTTGTTACTATTATCATTATCATTATTATTATTGTTGTTAACATTATCATTATCAATATTACTACTGTCACTGATATTATCATTTTTATCATTATCATAGCTATAATCATTATGATTATTACTGTCTTTATCATTATTGTCATTATCGTTATTATTATCATCATTGTTATTATTATTTCTATTATTTTATTATTATTACTATTATCAATATTATTTTCACTGTAACTATTATCAATATTATTTTCACTGTAACTATTATCATTACTATTATAATTTTAATTGACATTAATATTATCGTGATTATTATTATTAACACCATTAATGTTAGCGTTGTTGCTATCAATATTGATGTTAATTTTACTTGTGTTATTATCATAATCATTGTCATGTTCCTTATCATTATTGCCATCATTATTATTATCTATATAATATTATCGCCATTTATACTATTATTATTATTTATACTATCATTATTATTTATACTATCATTATTATTTATACTAGCATTATTATTTATACTATCATTATTATTTATACTATCATTATTATTTATACTATCATTATTATTTATACTATCATTATTATTTATACTATCATTATTATTTATACTATCATTATCATAATTGCTGTTATCATTTAAATTTCGCCATCAACAGTATAATCCCTTCGGTCAAAAGGCGGAGACAAGAGCAAGGAATTCGGTCCTGGCGTGCGGGTCTTTCCACATCTTGGCTTTCGCCAGAATGGACTCTTTTGAAAACTGTACTTATCTAAATCTCATAAATGAAAGGAATCAGGCAACTGAGGCTATTGGAAATGTTTCCCCTTGTAGAAATTCAGTAATGCTTTTATCTAACGATTTAAGGTGAAATTCTGGGTTCGGATATTAACAAAAAAGATAAGTGGAAATACACTAAACTGGGGAATATCAGTTTTCAGTTGACGGAGACAAATATCTTAAAAGATACCTCTTTATACGATCTCTTGTGTTATCGAGAGTGACACAACGGATGAGGTTCAACAGTGTAAGGGAATACAGGTGTCCAATTCCTTTCTTGTCTGACACTTTCGTTCTCATATCTTTGACATAGTAAGTATGAATGTATGTACTGGATACATGACTATATATGTGCATGAATATGCACGCATGGATGTGGACCTACATATGTATGAATATGTTCGTTATATTAATGTATGTACGTACGTGGGTATTATGTATTTTGTATGCATACATCTGTACATAAATCCATAAACGTCAGTATTACTTACAGCGCGAGCGAGGGCGGCCGTCGCGAGGAACGACGCCAGCCAGCGGAGGAAGCTCATGGCCGCGGAGCCGAGGCCGAGTGCGCGGGGAGCGGGCGCCGCCGCTTATGAAGGCGGCAGCTGCCGGCGGGGCGTCGGGGCTCACACGGGGAGGCTGCCGCGCACACGAGACCGCTCAGGTTAGATATGCACACACACAGACACACGCTCACATAAGTATGTGTTTATATATATATGTGTGTGTGTGTTT